ATCCATCCATCCATCCATCCATCCATCCATCCATCCATCCATCCATCCTATCTATCTATATCTGTTGTAAACCTCTAGAATTACTTAGGTGAGATGTATGGTTTAGAAATTTAATAAATAGACAGTGTGGGAAAGACTTTGTGCTTTTGGTATTAATACTTGGATAAACAATAAAGTACATTCTTGAATATAGCATCTTACCCCAGTCAGTGCAGAGAGATAAGCACAACCTCCAGGGTGTAAATGTACTCCATACACTACAAGCTTCAACTAGTTGAGTAGGAGACACCCAAATCATTCAAATATGTGTATATCCTAAAGGTAACTCCTAAATTGTGTAGTTAAACTATGTTTTAACCAGAGAATTAATATCTATTTGGAAATTCTATATATCTTTTGTTTAGGGTATTTCCTTTATTAGAAAATGCCTCAGTGATGACTGTGTAATAAAATTTTGTTCCACTTTCGACTGATCTGGAAAAAACCCAAACATATTCATCAGATAACAAATACTGTCTTTGTACTGAGCCATTTTAATGGACTCTGGCTTCTCTAGGAGAAACATCCATAGGAGAGAAAACATATGTATGTATAGATTTATATTTGACTCATAGAATATATGATCAGCTTCTGAGTGCCACACTGTATGGACTTTGTTACACTTGCAACATGGTTTTTTGAGATTTCACTGATTAACTAACATGGATTTTCTTGTATTTTAATTAACCTTATTTCTCTTTTTCTTTCAAAAGTATTTCAAATGTATTCCTTTCAAATAATTTGCCATAAGCATTCATCTTCAAGAAGAATGTAAAAAAGTTCTTTTCTTTTAGTGTTTGATACATTGTAAATAAAATACATTTGCTTTATTTCCTTGAACAAAACAATTATTTGACCCCAGTATTGGGAAAAGCACTGTCAGTGTATGCTCATTCTGATGTTTTTCTCTTGTAAATGTTTCTTTTACTTTTATTCAGAAAACAATGCTCTTTTTATTCAGAATACAATGCGATTTTCAATTCTTATGCTGACGTATTATTGGATTTTCCTAATCTAATCAGCACTTACTTTTAAATATATTTTTTGCCCAAACTATAAAAAGAAGTGTTAGTTATATTCCACGTTCTTTATCTTGTAAAAGGGAATCCTTCCAGTATACCAAGGCATGAACCTAGAACGACATTTCACCATAATCTATATAATGAAAGTAAAAGTATATGCCGTCCTAGTGACTGACAGTATATTTCTGGCATCAGTTTGACAACATTGAAGTAATATAAAGTCTGCACCCATTGCTGTTTAATTTGACATGATGGAATAGCTTATAATTGTATTTAATGAATTTATAGGCCGCCCAATCCCAGAGGACTCCGGGCAGCTATAATATGCTCCTTGGAAAGGAAATTTCACAATTATATATTGGGTGCTGTTAATCTTTCCTGGACTCAGGGGTATTGCACTTGATCATCCGTGTTCTTGACATTTCATCAGTTGTAATCTACATGGGGCTGCTTTTGAATGTTATCCAGAAGCTTAAACTGGAGTAATAGGCAGCCATTTGAATTGTGATGTCAGCATCTAGATTTGTCTATGTAACTTTGATACTCCAAGAGTTGCACTGCCTGCCTGTTGGCTTCTTGGTGAAATTTAAGGGTCTGGTTTTTACTCTTATAGCTTTGCATGACTCAGGGCCTGATTATCTCCAAGATCACTTCCCCCTGGAATGAATCTGCCCCTGGAATGTAAGATCTGAAGAGCAGTCCCGCTACATAAATTTCATCTTCAAGGACACCATAGTTTGGTTTTCTCAGTAGTGTCACTCCTTCTGTGGAATATTTTGTCCCCGTGTACATTGATCACCAGTTCCCTAATGAGCTTCCATAGAGAAATGAAAAACTGCTTTAGGAGACAGTACGCAGGGAATTTTAAATTTGGAGTCTGTTCCCATGTGCTGTGCTGTTATACTTTAGACATTGTTTGTTTGTTGTTTTTCTAAATCTTTCTTCCTTATGCCACTTAGTACATTTTGGGATGGTGTGATAGAAATGTCCCCAGTGAATAACTAAAAAAACATTTTAACCTTTTAAAAGGGTTTAAAATTATAGCATAAAGATTTTAGCAATAAAGGACTGTAAGACAAATGCACATAGTCCTCAACTTACAGCCATTTATTTAGTGATCATTCAAAGTTATAAAATCTCTGAAAAAAATCCCTAGATCACATCTTTCAATGATCCTGGAGTACTGGGAAACTATCCGATGACTGGAAAAGGGCTGATGTGTTTCCTATCTTAAAAAAAGAAAAAAGTGGATCCAGGTGTAGGAAATTATCACCCAGCCCTCTCCCAGAAAAATGAAATATCCTAGGAAACATTGAAAAGGTAGAATATTTATCTGGATGTGAAAAGGAAGAAACATGTTTTAAAAGACAGAATAGCTCCCTGTAGCTTCCTGCCCATCCCCACTTTGTCAATGGGCCATTAAGAAGACCAAGCTAGTCCACTTTACATAATAAAGAGTTCTCCCCTTCAGCTCCAGGGGGTGGGATTAAGGCATGGTAATATTGACCCTTTACCCAACTCCCCACATGGCATCTGAGAACTCAACCAAACCTGGATTCAAAACTCAGCCTAGAGAGTTGCCCCTGCATGGCTCCATGGGAGTCTGACAACCAATCAGAACACAAGCTCAAGATCAAAGGCCAGAGGGCATAAAACCAGGGACTCAGCTTCTCTTCCTGGCTTCCCTTCTTTTTTTCCACCAACATTGAAGCATGTGATCACCTTTTCTGTTCAGGACTCAAGCCATGTGGTCATGTCTACCAATAAACCATCTTTCCAAGCAGCCTCTATGTCTCCAGTGCTTTTTCCCCACTTGGAGCCGAACCCAGAAGGACATTTCAATGATCCTGGATACTGGGAAACTATCCGATGACTGGAAAAGGGCTAATGTGTTCCCTATCTTCAAAAAAGAAAAAAGTGGATCCAGGAAACTACAGACTTAGCCTGACATTAATACTTATGAAGATTCTGAAAACATAATCAAGTAACGAATCTGCAAACACTGGGAGGCAACTACTGTCATAACCGGAAGTCATCATGGGTTTGTGAGAAACAGATCATCCCAGATAAATCTTATTGCATTCTTTGGCAATGTGCCAAATTAGTGAACTAGTGAAATGCTGTCCATATAATTTACTTTGACTTTAATAAAGCATTTGATAAAGTAGACCACAACCTACTACTTTATAAGATAGAAAAATGTGGGTTAAACAGTATCCAACACAGATGAATTCGTAATTAGCTGACCAACTGCACTCAATATATAATCCTTATTGGCACTATGTCTACATGGAAGGAAGTATGCAGTGGGCTACCCCAAGTCTCAGGCCTAGTACTTTTCAATATCTTTATCAATGATTTAGACCATGGGATAGTAAGGGAACCCATCACATTTGCAGAGGACACCAAGCTGGCAGAAATAACCAACACTCCAGAAGATACAGAAGAATCTTGAGAGACTTGAACACTGGGCCCCATATAACAAAATGAAACTCAATGGTGAAAAAAGCAGGATTCTACATTTAGACAGGAAAAACCAATGCACAGGTATAGAATAGGTAGCACCTAGCTCAATAGTAGTAACTGAGAAGGATCTTTGTCCCAATAGACAATCAATTAAATATGAGCCAGCAGTGTGCTGCAGCTGCCAAAAAGCTAGCACAGTCCTAGGCTGCCTTAACAGAGAGGTACAATGAAGATTACATGAAGTGCAAGTAGTCCTTGATTTACAACAGTTCACTTAGTGACCATTTGAAGTTACAACAGCACTGAAAAAAGTGACTTTTTTTAAATAATAACTATTGCAACATCCCCATGATCATATGATTTACATTTGGATGCTTAACAAATAACTCACATTTATGGTGGTTGCATCTGGGGTCATCTGATCACCTTTTGCAACCTTCTGGCGAAGAAGTCAACGGGGAAGCCAGATTCATTTAACAATTATGTTACTAACTTAATAACTGCAGTGATTCACTTAACAAATGTGGAAAGAAAAATTGTACCCACTTAACAAATCCATTTAACAAATCAGTCACTTAGCAACATCAATTTTGGACTCAACTGTGGTTGTAAGTTAAGGATTACCGGTATGAGTACCACTTTATAATGCCTTGATAAGACCACACTTCAAATATTGCATCCAGTTTTGATTTGTCTGAAATGGTAATGAAAGGTCGTAAAATTGGATACAGCTTACTTAACCACCTTGCTTATCAATGGAAATTCTGTTCCAAGCGTGTACTACCTGTACTTTACCTTAAAGATCACATGTGTTTTGCAAAATATATTGTTTGAATAGCATTGAAAAATAACAGTGAGCAAAACCAGTTGGAATCCACAACAGTTTGGCTTTTTGTCAAGTGGAGAAGGAACTGAATGGACTTTTTTGCAATGTTGTGCTTGAAATGCATTCAAGTTTTTTGGAAAGATGTGGACAAGGAAAACTATTATGAAGGTGAATTGTTAAGATCCCCATTAATTAACCAGGACATTTTCATTCAGGCTTTGTTTTAACCCTCAGGTGAGTAGACCCATGGTATCCTCAGCAAAGAACTAGACAAGAATCCAAGAAAGCATTTGATGAGGGTTAAAATTTACTGGCAGGGACCCAAGGACATTTCTGCAAGGGAGGAGGAGGAAGGGGGGAGGAGCAAAAAGCTCTCCCTTCATTGCTATTTGTTTTCATTCTACACAACTGCCAGCGTGTGCCTGTTGCTTCCAGAGTGCTGGATCTCATCAGTGTGTAGACATGCTTCATTTTTATACAATTTTGCTGGGGGTTTTGATCCTTGTCCCTCTCCTGGCCAATATTTTTTTGCCTTATCTTTGGCTGGACCTATGCTTTTTTTTCTCTCTCTTGTGGTCGGGATACAAATCCCAAAAGAGTTTGCAGCGTAATCCACCATTTACCTTCCTGGACTCTTTTTTACACAAGGTCCTGAAACATCCAGAGAAGCCTTTCATTCTCTTTGAAGATGAAATTTATTCCTATCATGACATTGACAAACGTAGCAATCAAATGGCTAGAGTGCTGAAGGACTATGTGAGGCTGAAAGAAGGGGAAACCATGGCTGTTTTCTTGAAGAATATCCCTGCCTATATCTGGATCTGGATGGGCTTGGAGAAGATCGGCTGCACCATGGCATGCATCAATTATAACATCCGATTAAAATCTTTGTTGCATGTGTTGAAAACCTGCAATGCCAAAGTGCTTCTGACAACCCCAGGTGAGCTAAACCAAGCAGTTATGTCTACTGGTAATGAAATGTATATTTTCACTATGGCTCAGAGGCTGCTTGATTTCAGATCTCTCAAGAGTGGGGAATCACAGTGATCTTTGATCTTCCTGTTTGCTTTAATGAACTCCTTTGTATTATACACATATATCTGACTCGGCAGCTGCATTTGTTTCCTGATTCTGTAAAGTTGTAAAAAAAGGATTCCCATCTGAAGAATAATCAAGGGTATACAGTTCAGTTCAAAATCTCTAGGGATTCTAGAAATTGAATTCTCCTTACCGTCTGAGTTAATTCACTTTGCCTAGAATTTACTCCATCTCAGTTTTGTGACAGAAAAGATAGCAGATGAAGATGTTTTCTCTTTTACCCTGGTTTTGATCTGATTTCACCACCTACTTGTTTACTTTCAAGTTTTGTGCAGTATGCTGCTGAATTCAAAACCTTAGTTAGCTATCAAACTATTTGCTCTTTTTCAAAAGAATGATTCAATAACTTAAAACTTGTTTCATATATAT